ATGTCCAACACCAAGCCACAAAGTCCTCCTCCATCTCATAAAACAGACACAATGATGCCGACTGTAGGAGGAAAGCCAAGTCAGTGAATGGGTAAGCATCTCAGCGCTGGCAGGGGTCTCCACGTGGATGCTCCAGCACCCTGGGCTGCATTGGGGTAGGTCCATGTGGCTTCTCCTTGGGGATGTCTTGCAGGAAGTCAGCCTTGCCAGATGAAACAGGGAACTGCTAAGGCAGCTGCACCCTGGTGCCGACCTGGTGCAACCATCACAAAGAGACCCGAGAACTCGAAAGGCGAGGCTCACCAAGCCATTTATCCCTCCGCCCTTCAATTAACCCCACATGTGTTTATCGGCTAGGTTGGCACAATAAACTAACTCACATGGAAAAGTCAGCATTCTGTTTTTAACTGGAATTAACACTCTGAATATGAATTTACCTTCCCTGTCTTCCAAAACTACCATCCATGGATCTCCAGATGGCCTTACTCATTGTCCTAGCATCCCACATGGCACCATTTCCTTGAGGTAAACCAGTCACTCAATCTCTCTGATACACACACACACACACACACATACACACACACACACACGGAGAGAGAGAGATGTCATATAGTATATATGATTGGTTTTGCTTCTTTAGAAAACCCAGCATAAGATGTCCATTCCTTTCAGGACAACTCTGCTGAAAAATTCCAAAAATACTTGCCTAAGCTCCTCTACCCAGTGTATCTGGCAGCACTCTCACGTGCTTTACAACATGGACACTGGAGTATGGGATCCTACAAAGCTTGGTTTGGGAAAGCCAGTTGATTGTTGAAGATAATTTGGGAACCCAGGAGTTATATTTGCTAGACAGAGTGAAAGTCTAAGTGTTATTCCCCTTTTGTCTAACCAAAGTGGAGTCTTGGTGCTGATCACTATAGTGGATGGAATGGTTAATTTGGAAAAACATGCAGATGTATGAACCAAAAAGTAGTCCAAATATTTCCTAAAACTCTTCTCTAGGAAATGTGGGATCTACTCTGCATCCATTTAAATCACAAGCCAGACTTAAGACAGTGTGTATGACACTTTACAGAGTGTTTCTATATGCATGCTTTCATCCAATACCTGATGAACTATCTCCCCTTCCCCCTTCTCGGTGGGTACATTGAATCTGTGCATCAACACTGTCCAGTAGAACTTCTTGTGATGACTGAAATGTGCAGTATGTGCGTGGTCCAACACAGCAATCACTAGTACATACAACAATGAAGCACTTGAAATGTGACAACTGTAATGGAGGAATTTGATTTTTAAGTTAATTTAAAGAGCCACATAAAGCTAGTGGTCACAGTAGTCAACAATGCAGCACAACTAAAAGAGTGTTTATCCCGTGTTCATTGATTTGGTAAGATGCATAGCCTGGATTCTCCTATTGCAACATAAATTCTTCCTGGGTTCCTTAAGTTAATCATCAACCTGAACTTTATTGTAAGTATAAACCTGGTAAGAGGAAAGCACACAAAATAACTGAAATAAACTTTTCCTTATGTCCACTTAGGCTTGAATCTGTTGAGCAATGTCATTATAATGTATATTCCATCACCTTGGTTAAGTTTTCACCCGGGCTGTGAGTGAAAGAATGAGCTTCTGAGTCCAGTAATACAAGTCATTGGTTAGGACTACTCATCAACTTTCTGAGAGGAAGAATAGAAGCAAAGTTTCCCTTTGATCGATTCTGGTAGCAATTCATTCCAGTAGGTTCTAGGCACCAAACAGAAGTCACAATCTGACACTTCCTGTCCATCAACACTGGTCAGATCAATTGAGAGGACATAGGCCAATCGAGAGGAGGAATGTGGAAAAGAGCAAGCCTTTGTTAAATTTCATGTCTCCGCTGAAATAGAGACAAGGGGGAATAAAGAGCCAGAGTCAATTTCAAGAGTAAGCATCTTCATTTATCTTGAGGATCTGAATCTAGCCCTCTATGAATGTAAAGGAATACTTTAGTCTTTGAGGCTGCTGGCCATCATTTCCTTACTCTTTGTCGGGCATCAGGCTATCTTTATCTCGACTCTGCGAGTTATGGGATTTGGGAATTGGCAGAGAAAACCTGCTAATGACAATATGCTCAGCTCCTGTCCAACTAACGCCTTTAGGAAGGTGTGGCTAGTCCTGCCGTGTGAAGCTGCAAGATTTTCGACATGCTGTACATTCCTATCTTTTTCACCTCCCTTCAGATAGGTCCCTTCCTTCCTGGCCAGATAAAAGTGCAGGTCAGCTGGGCAGGTGACCCTCACCTCCACCCTGACTGAGTCAGGGGCCACGTTTCAAGCATCATTATTAATAGCTGGGCATACTAATGCTTCCTGAAGAACACGATAAGAACCACACAGACTCAGAAGGAAATAAAGCCATGACTCAGCAGGGAAAGATTCTTGGTTGATCCAAGTATATTGGTGGAAGGTCTCTTTCCTGGTATCTGTCTGCAGATTTGATACTGTATGGGATTAGGATGAGCTGCCATGGAAATTCAGATTGATCACAGGCATTCTCTGTCCCATGACACTCTCCAGCCCTCCAGCTAATGAACAAAAGTACCTATGTCCTGTGTCCATTTTCCCGTTAACTTAATTATAATGCCAGTTCTCTTCTCCAAATGACAATTCATTTGTCAAAGAGAGAAAGCCTAACATGCTGTGAGAGTTGTGTTCAGGGCTTACATACATCTCAGATAATCTTATCCATCTCCCTGAGAAGTGGGAAATATTAACTATATTAGAGAAGTTGGATGAACTGGAGCTCAAGGGGGAAAGTAATTAATACCCCATGTTCACCTAACTATTTAGAAGAGTCAAATGGAAACCAATATTAATTGTTCCTTCAGAGATTTTTCCAAGGCTTCCAAAAATCTTTCCAAGGTTTTTGTGGAGTCCCTGGGTAGTAAAGATGGTGAATGTGCTTGATTACTAACCTAAAGGTTAGCAGTTCAAATCTACTCTGAAGGGTGTCAGAAGAAAGACATAGTAGGCCTATTTTAGAAAACAAAACAAAACAAAACAAAAAATCAGCCATGAAAAGCCCTATGGAGCAGTTCTACCCTGACGTAAGTGAGTCTTTATGGGTCAGAATCAAATCCACAGCATGCATTTGGGTGATCCATGGCAGCCCAGGTGGTGGCAGTAAGCTTTTCCTACCCTTGCCACTTCAGACAAGGTGAGCTGAATAAGGTTGAAGATGCGCTGGAAGCCTTTAAGACTTTCTCTTCAAAACTCGATGTGGTTAAAAAAAAACACAACTTTTTATGGTTCTACTCAGAGAAATATCACACCTTAAATCCACAGCTCTTTATTTTGTCTGTCACCTAATTACTCGGAAGCATAGGAACAATTGTATGGATGGCACGGGACCGGTCCCCTTCCCGTCTGTTGTGCACAGGGTTGCTATGGCGCCGAGCCCACCTGATGGCACCCACCAACGCCTTTCTCTCTCCAGCCAAGCCAGGGCACAAAATGTGAGACCACAAAGACGGCAGCAATCAGAAGAAATAACATTCCAATGGAATTTAGTATTTTCGTTTTTATCATGATGAAATACATATATACCAAAAACATGTCGTTTCAATTATTTTCCTTATAAAATTCAGAGACATTAATTACACTCATCATGTTGTATAATAATACCTGTTACACATTTCCAATTTCTTATCTTCCTTATCAAAAACTGGATCCCATAAATAATCCTCCATCCCCATTTTATCCTCCCACTTGACCCTGGTACCCACTAATTAACCTAGGTGCCTATTCACTTGTCTAAACTAGATTCTCCATATAATTGGGATCACACAATATTTGTTGTTCTGTATCTGACATTTCATTCAGCATCCATGTCATAATAGGTATCAGAATTTCATTTCTCTTTATGGCGAATAATGTCTCATTGTGTATGTACAATTCATTGTGTTTATACATTCATCTGCTGATGAAAAATTGGGTTCTTTTCACCTTTTGACTATTGTGAATAATAAAGTAATGGACACTGGTGTGAAAATACCTGTCTGACAATCAGATAGACGTGAACGATGGGGGCTGGAGTGGAGACCCCAAAGCCCATCTGTAAACAATTAGACATCCCCTCACAGAAGGGTCACAAGGAAGGGACGAGCCAACCAGGGTACAATATAGCACCGATGAAACATACAACATTCCCTTAGTTCTTTAATGCATCCTCCTCTCCCCCCCACCCCACTCACCAACACCATGACCCTAGTTCTACCTTACAAATCAGGCTAGACCAAAGCATGTACACTGATAGAGATAAGAGCTCTTGACACAGAGAATCCAAGAGAGATAAATACCTCAGGAACAATAATGGGAGTAGCAATACCATGAGGGTAGGGGAAAAGTAGGGGGAGGAGGGGAAGAAAGGGGAACAATCACAATGATCAACATATAGCCCCCTCTTCCCAGGGACATGAGCAACAGAAACATGGGTGCAGGGAGACAGAGGATGATGTAAGATATTAAAATAATAATAATTTATAATTTATCAAGGATTCACGAAGGGGGGAGTGGAGCTGATACCAAGGCTCAAGAAGAAAGAAACTGTTTTGAAAATGATGATGGCAACATATGTACAAATGTGCTTGATACAATGGATGTATGGATTGTTATAATAGTTGTAAGAGCCCCCAATAAGCTCTTCCGCCCTCTTCGCTTCTTGCTGTGCCTGTCCACGCCTTGTCACCATGCCTCGCAAAATAGAAGAGATCAAGGACTTCCTGCTCACAGCGCTGCAAAAGGATGCCAAGTCTGTCAAGATCAAGAAGAACAAGGATAACGGGAAGTTCAAGGTGCAGTGCAGCAGGTACCTCTACACTTTGGTCATCACCGACAAGGAGAAGGCCGAGAAGCTGAAGCAGTCTCTGCCCCCAGGTCTGGCAGTGAAGGAGCTGAAATGAACCCAGTTGGCTGATGCAAACTATAATAAAAATGTTTTTTAATCTTAAAAAAAAAAAAGAGCCCACAATAAGATGATTTTTTTTTTAATACCTGGTTGAATCACTGTTTGGATATATACCTAGAAATGGAATTTCTAAGTCATATGGTAATTTTAAGTTTAATTATTCAGTATAAATATTTTTAAAATAAGATTTAATGCCAAAGACCAGCATTAATAGAATTTTTTTAGTTTGTTTTTTAAAGAAGGTTACAAATAGATGCCCATGAGTAGAAGAGTGGATAAATAAACTCCGGAACATATGCACAAGGGGATACTATTGTCATTGTTGTTAGGTGCCATCGAAACTGATGCATGGCGACACTATACACAACAGAACAGAACACTGCCCAGTCCTGTGCTAGACTCACAATTGTTCCTGTGCTTCAGCCCATTGTCACAGCCATTGTGTCAATCCATCGCCTTGAGGGCCTTTCTCCTTTTTGCTGCCCCTCTACTTTACCAAGCATGCCGTCCTTCTCCAGGGACTGGTCTTTCCCAACAATATGCCCAAAGCATGTAAGATAAAGTCTTGGCATTCTTGCCTCTAAAGAACGCTCTGGTCATACTTCTTTCAAGACAGATTTGTTTGTTCTTTTGGCAATCCATGGTACTCAGTGTTTCTCACCAGCACCACAATTCAAATGTATCAATTTTTCTTCTTTCTTTCTTAGTCAATGTCCAACTTTCACATGCATATGAGGCAATTAAAACTACTATGGTTGGGTCAGGCACACCTTAGTCCTCAAAGTTATGTCTGTGCTTTTCAATAGTTCTAAAGAGGTCTTGTGCAGCAGATTTACCTGATGCAAATTGTCTTTCCATCTCTTGACTGCTGCTTCCATTGTAAAATATTATAATGAAATTTGTAAAAACCAAGAGTTAGAAAACCAAAAAAGGAAGAACTTGCTATCTTGAACAGAATCTTAAACTGAAGTAACTCACAGACATGGTGCTGAGTCAAGTTAGTTGATCATAAAAGGAAAAATACCACATGACACCATTGGTATGTATATTTTTTAATCACAAAAAGATGTCATACCAATATAAACAGACTTCCATGTGTTCCAGGTTAAGAGAGGAAAGGAGAAGGAATAGGCGAGAGGATACACATGTGTTAACTTGCGTGAAGGGGAAGATAATGTACTACAATAGGGAGAGGGAAAATAAGATAGGGAACAGAGAGAGCATGCCATTGGGAAGTTTGATAAGCTGTTGAATGTAAAAGTGATTATGTAATGTGTAAACCCCACCTAATTCACAAGAAAACATTTTTTTAAGATGCATGAGACTTTCACTACTTCACCATTTTCTTCTGCCACACATCGTCATTTCTAGCTGACTTTTCCATGTAAACTGAAAATCCCAAATCAAAACCCACGGCCATGGATTCTATGTGGTGATTGCATCACATAGTAACCCTCTTTCAGGTTTCCAAGCTATAAATCTTTACTCATCTTCCTCCGTGGTTCTGCTGAGAGCTTCAAACCAAAGACATTGTGGTTAGCCGTCCAACACTCACCCAACAGTGGCGTGAAATAGAAAGTCATTTGCCATGTAGTCACTTCCAACTCCTGGCTACGCAGTGTGCCCGAGTGGAACGCTGCTCCAGATGGCTTTCCGTGGATGATTTTTTCCTGAAGTAGATCACCAAAGCTTTCCTTAAAATGAATTCAAATCTCCAACCTTTCACTTAGCAGTTGAGCATGTTAAAATCGCCCTGGGACTCCTGAGGTAAAGGAACTATCTTTTTCCCACTGAACTAAATGCTAACTGTGTT